TACGTCCGGGAGATTGTAAGATTACATGGTATTCCATTGACTGTTACGTCCGATAGAGACGTAAAATTCATGAGTTATTTCTGGAAGACAATGTGGGGAAAGTTGGGTACCCGCCTGCAGTACAGTTCAGCTGCTCATCCTCAAACAGATGGGCAAACGGAAGTCGTCAATCGCAGTTTGGGAAATCTGCTAAGATGCTTTGTTGGAAAAAATATTAAACAATGGGATTTAATATTAGCTCAAATTGAGTTTGTCTTTAACCGCTCAGTGAATCAAACTACCAGGCGAAGCCCGTTCGAAATAGTGTATGGGCGAAATCCCTTAACGCCATTGGATTTAATTCCAGTGGTGCGCCAGGCCACCTTTAATCCTGATGGTGAACAAAGAAGTGTGGAGATCCAAAAACTGCATAGGCAAGTTCAAGAAGAAATCAATAAGCAAAATGACAGGTATCGGGCCCAAGCAAACAAGCACATAAAGCAAATTGTATACAATGAAGGGGACTTGGTGTGGATTAGATTAAGAAAAGAGAGGTTTCCACCTAAAGCTTTCAGCAAGTTAAAACCTCGGGCAGATGGGCCTTTTCGTGTCGTCAAGAAGATCAACGATAATGCTTATTTGATAGATCTTCCAGGGGACTACAACATTTCGGCTGTGTTCAACGTGGCCGATTTAACTCCACATTATGAGTACGAAGTTCTTCCAACCCCGGAAGAATGACGCCGGAGCTGTATAAAAATCCTCTGTTTTGTTTTTACTGTTTACTGTCTGTATCGAATTTACATAGCTTCTCTTCTTTTCCTGTATAGCTTCGGTTCTCTAGCTAAGCCTGTAGCTGTAATTTGTATAAATACTTGAGCTCTGCCGGCTAGAGGGTAGTTTTTGATTTTCCAAGAATTGAATAAGATTTACGTGAGGTCCTCTTGAATTCAAAGGAACTCTGTCTGTATCCTGGTAACAACTCTGTTTCCAGGTGGTGGTTGATTTAGCTGTTCGAACAGATTGCATCGGTGGCTTTCTTGTTGGCCGGAATTCCTAAGTTCCGGTATCAGTTTGGTATCAGAGCCGGCAAAGATGCCGCCTCGTCGTAATCCACAGCGACCGGTGCAAGAAGTGTTGATTGAAGACTTGCAAAGGGAAGTACAGCGATTGCAGCAAAGATTGGAAAGGTTTGAACAAAGGGAAGCTGTTGATGATCAGGAGGAAGGAGAGGGTGTAAACCCATTCTATCATGCCACATCCAGTGACGAAGAAGGGGGGCGACGGACACGAGAGCGCGTGAGAAAAACAAGGCATGACGACGGAGGAATCAAAGTTGATTTACCAGACTTTGAGGGAAGATTAGATCCGGACGAATTCATAAACTGGATTCATACTGTAGATCGAATCTTGGAATTCAAGGAAGTACATCCTGATCGCATTGTCAAGCTCGTGGCCATTAAATTAAAAAAGAATGCATTGTTGTGGTGGGAAAACTTGAAGCGGACAAGACTCCGGGAAGGCCGTAGCAAAATTGTAAGCTGGGACAAAATGAAAAAGGAGCTTCAAAGAAAATATTTGCCGGAGCAATATAGGCAAGAACTGTTCTTGAAGTTGCAGAGAATTCAGCAAAACCAGTTAACTGTGGAGGAATATGTTGCAGAATTTGAACAGTTGACATTAAAATGTGATATGGTGGAACCTGTTGAAAACACAATTGCAAGATTCTTGGAAGGGTTGCAGCCTGCAATCAGCAATGTTGTTCAACTGCAGTCTTATTGGACATTACAGGATGTTATTAACTTGGCCCTTAAGGTAGAGAAACAGCAAAGAAAATCAAAGATTATTCAGAACAGGTGGGGATTCAAGGGAGAAATTAAGGAGCGGAATAGCGGCAGAGATGAAGCAAACTCCAGCAGCCGAATGAAGACCACCGAGACCGCTCAAGTTGTCAAGAAGCCGAGTAACACCCCAAATTATCCCGCCAGAAAGTGTTTCAAATGCCACGGTTTCGGACACATTGCTTCCAATTGTCCTAATCGGCATGTAATTACTCTTCTAGAAGATGATGTAGGCGAAGAGACCGAGGGCTATGGGGAAGATTCGACTGGACTTGTTGCTGTGGAGCAGCCGGTTCCTACTATTCTTTCTGCAGATGAAGGGCCAATGCTGGTTATCTAACGATTACTCAAAAATCAGAAGGAAGAACTGTTACAGCGGCATAATCTTTTTCGGACCCGCTGTACAGTACAGGGCAAGGTATGCCAAGTAATCGTGGATAGCGGTAGTTGCGAGAATGTTGCTTCTAGCTCAATGATAGATAAACTACAGTTGAAGACAGAAGAGCACCCACATCCTTATAAATTAGCATGGATTCAGAAGAATAATGTGGTCCGGGTCACAAAGAGGTGCTTAGTTACTTTTTCTATCGGTAAATATCGGGACCAACTATGGTGTGATGTGGTGCCGATGGACGCCTGCCATTTACTTTTAGGGAGGCCTTGGCAGTATGATCGCCAGACTATTCATGATGGAGCTAAGAATACTTATACATTCAATTATAATGGCTGTTCGATGGTGTTAGTTCCATTGGAGGAAGAACTCGCGTCCAAGTCCACGGAGGACCTGTTGATCAGTTACTCACAATGCCGCAAAGCTTTGCAGGAGACCACCACAAGTTATTTGATAATACCAAAGGAGATAGTTCCCTTTGAGGATGTTAGTCACCCGTGCCTACAGAACCTTTTACAGGAGTTTCAAGATGTTTTTTCGGAAGAAATTCCTGATGGCCTGCCTCCCGAACGTGATATACAGCATGAGATCGAGCTAGTGCCGGGTGCTGTGCTACCCAACCGGCCTCCTTACAGACTTAGGCCCGATGAATATGAAATTTTACAGCAACAGATAGAGGAATTGTTATCAAAAGGCTTTATTAGGCCCAGTGTAAGTCCTTGCGCTGTGCCGGTACTGCTGGTTCCAAAAAAAGATGGGTCTTATCGGATGTGCATGGACAGCAGAGCGATTAATAAGATCACTGTCCGATATCGATTTCCGATTCCACGCATAGACGACCTTTTTGATCAGTTACACGGCGCCAAAGTATTTTCGAAAATCGACTTAAGGAGCGGATATCATCAGATACGACTGCGAGCTGGGGACGAATGGAAGACTGCTTTCAAGGTTCGGGATGGACTATATGAGTGGACAGTAATGCCATTCGGGCTGTCCAATGCCCCGAGCACCTTTATGAGGCTCATCAATCAAGTATTCCAACCGTTTCTATGTAAGTTTGTGGTTGTTTATTTTGATGATATATTAATTTTCAGTGAAAATCTGGAGGAGCATATACAGCATCTGCGGTTAGTACTCTGCAAGTTGCGGGAACAGAAGTTGTTTGGCCATCTTGGGAAATGCCAATTCCTGGACAGTAAAATCGAGTTTCTTGGTTTTGTGATTTCGGCTAAAGGCATTGAAGCCGACCCAAGAAAGATTGAGGCCATTGTGAATTGGCCGGTACCGCAGTCGTTTACGGAGGTCCGAAGGTCGCAAGGCACGCGGTGCGCGCGGCCTCCGCCCAGGCGAACAGGTCGTCTGTTTCGCGACTTGGCCGGTCCCGGCTGGACCGGTCCACTGGACCGGTCTAACACACTACTCTGTTTGTTAGAGAGGTCTAATAGACCAAGACTTATAATTTTAATTTTAAGGGGTTTTACATGAGTCTTAGTTTGTCAAATGCAGAATGACCTCTAATAATAGGTCATGCAATCCTAAGCTTTAGATCAAAGTTTGAAAATGCACATACTTGGAGGAGTTTTCTTTTTGTGAGGCAAGGTGTAAAGCTTCTAGGTGTGTTGAAGCATAAGCCTTAAATTAATTAAAAATATAAAAAATAAAGCATTTGAGAGTAATCTTTTTTAGCACTCAATAAAAAGTAACAACATAAAGAATTTTTGCTTGGTCTCTAAAGCCATTGTAAGATGAAAGCACAGTGTAGTGTCTCCCCATACAAATCTGAGTTGACTGAGACATTCATGAGATATGATTGATAGATAAACAGCACCTCGCCCTATGTGATATCTACTTCTAAATAAAAATTTTAGTTCACAAGGTTTCATGGACGCCATGTGATTCACATGACTAAAAATGAATTAAATCCCAAAAATAGTCCGTCGACTATTTGCATGTGGCCAATTTAGCCTCATAGTATCATATTTCTCCAATTTAGGCTTCGTTTGGGACAACTTTCTAACTGCTTTATAAAACATATTTCTAGTATAAAAAATTTTTGAACTTTAAAATTTTTAACTAAAATACTGTTTTAGAAAGCAGTAAGAAAGTTGTCCCAAATAAAGGCTTAGTTCTTTACTTTGCAAAATCAATTCAAAAGGGCTCATGTAGAAATTTGGATAAAAATTGATCTTAATTTAGTCCTTAGATTACACAAATTATCCCAATTTAGTCTCAGAGAGACCATTTTGGATCAATTTTGTATAATTGATGGATTAAATTGGAGAAATGTGATGTACTGAGACTAAATTGGCTACATACAAATAATTGAGAACCATTTGATATTGTTGCTAAATGCTTACTAGCGATATTTTGCGATAAGAGTTTATGCACATCCTTAGTGTTAATTTCCTTTTGTTTTTTGTTTTTGAATATCACTAAGTATCTGACTAAAATATCTACCAAGATATTTTTCTGATTTCATGTATATTAATTTTGCTGTATGAAACATAGTAATAAGCAGTCATAACAACTTGAAAATTTTATTTAATACGATTTTTCTTTCCTATGTTATATGAACTTATTCATTAAGTATTTATTTAATTATTTATTGAAAAACTTGTACCTGAAAGGCTTGTTCTTCTCACTGTTGTCTTACGTATGCAAAATAAACGGTGTTGAGAACAAAGATGACTGGATGGTTTAAAGCCTGTAGCTACTTCTTATTTTTACTCAGTTCTTCTAGGTCTATCATATGCACTTGTGTATGAATTTAATTCTTGTAAGCAATTCAGGAGTTTAATAAGTATGACAAGGAACCTAACAAGTATATCAAGCAATGGACGGGTATAAAGCCAAAGACTGGAGCACCATACTCATGCGATATTGGATACGAGCGCTTTCTTGGGCCTGAGGTTGGTTTTATCTACACAGATTTTTTTAGCCGCCATATGCTTTTGAAAGAAATGGTTCAGGATCATATTTAGTTTCTCTCTCTGTGCGTTTGGGACATTTTTCTTGTTTGGTTTGAGAAATCTTTTAGTGGTTATTACTTAATAAATGCTGATAATTGTCACATAACTGCTAGCATTTTGTATGCGCACATAAATTTTGCTACATTTCTTCCCTGTACTCTCTTATGAATTACCTGATTGCTAGAAATGGATCTCTATAGCTCTTTCTTGATTAATGGCCAGTATTGTGAAGTATGCATGTATATGCACTTTGACTATTTTATAAACAACTAAATTTTAGAACTAGTCAAACTAACAATCTCATAAAACTGCCATTATAAAAAGTAATGCAAAATACATAGGATCAAGAGAAACTTAAAGTATTATGACTACTGTTCCTCCATGTGGAGGAAAGTGAACTTACATTCAGACGTATGCTATAAGCCCATAATATTAAAATCACCTGAGGAATTATTCTGTCTGGCATGGAATCTAGTAAATTTGAGAGGATGGCGAAGGGCTTTTATCGATTATTGTCATGATGAGAAAACACTAGCTAAAACTTTTATTCATTAACTAGATAAACTTATGATAAAATTTGAAGACGAGCAAACTTGAATCATCAACAACCTCACTCTAGAGCAATCAAATATAGCATTCATGAATACATGTGCATTATCACAAGGAGAAGAAATAAATTGAGTAACTGCAAGAGCCATAATAGGCTGGCATATATCTAACCCAAACATAACTATAAATGTATCTTAAGTTCTAACACCCAAAGTAGATGATGCTATAGATGAAGCAGTGGGATACTATCATCCAACAAATATCATCAACAATAAGTGAAGACACTAATTAAAAACATATTCTAGAGTAATATCAAGAGCATTGAGTATAAGGCTCTAAAAATGATCATGAGTATTGACAAAAAAAAATTTTGCGTGTCCATACTATTATCAAAAGAGTCAATTATACTATTAGGAATCCTAGAGGTTTATTTCCTTGATTTCATTAGAGCCTTAGTCATGTCCAAAAATTTGCATGAATAGGAGGGTAAACCTTCAAAATCTACTTTTTGCCAGTAGTCGCTTGAGGAAGTACTAATCCAAACCTCTTGAACCAAAGGGGCAGAAATACTTATCTCAACAAGAACATGAGTCATAGGTGATCGAGGGAGTCTAGTAGTACCAACATTCACTTATATTAGTTTGCCAAGAATTCAATTCAAAGAGTAGTGTGGGCTGATTGATGCAGTAAGCCTAGAGATGGGTCAAAACAACCCAAATAGGGGTGATAGAGGGTTTCTCAAAAATATCTAATTATGGAGACCACTTTAGAAAATGCATTTATAGATCACTCATACAGTATGAACACCTAGAGAAAAGTCCAGAAAACTTTTGCTCTTTTAGACAGTTAGATAAGCACGTGAGGTTGGCCTTGAATCCTAATAGAGTAGTTACCTAACCCTAGGTTTATGGACTTTGAATTACACTAGTAGGAGAGGTCAAATGGACTGTGGCATATAGCCCCAACCCAGGTTTAGGGGGAGTCCAATGCTCTTCTTTTTGTTTTGAGTTCAATACGAAATGTAAGGATGGATCTTATGTTCTTATCTTATAGACAAGACCAATATGATGGGTCTTCTAATGTTGACTTATAGGTATGACGATCCAAATGATGATGAATCACTTGGACTTAGATCAGCTAGGAATTATAAGCTCTAAGTTGAGTTCCATACCTTGCATTTGAGTTGAGGTTGAGGGGTATTAGTACGCTTTGCATGTATCAATGCATTTGACATGGGTATCAATTGCATTAATATGAATGAGGATTGTTATATGATATTGGCGAGCGTTTGGGATGCCTATAAGGTTGCTTTTTAATTTAGTAACTTTGAGAATGTTTCAATATCTTAAATGATGAAGGATGACCAAGCAAAAGAAGATTTGATTCAAGTTAGTTTAGTGATTCCTGTTATATTTAGTAACAGAAATCACTAAACTAACTTGAATCAAATCTTCTTTTGCTTGATCATCCTTCATCATTTAAGTTTGGCATTTGAAGATTCTACACATTCCAGTATTCCACATGTTCAGCTAATATAAATCGTTCATAATAAATTGTAGTTATCACGTCTGATTCTTTGTATACAAAATGACTGTAGGCTTTGGTTCTCTTAGCATTTGATAGCCTAATGTATGTTAGAAGCTTTTGTTAATTAATGCTCAGTTTTACATTTAATTTTTTTCATAAATGATCGAGCTTTTATTGTTCTAAATTTTACTTTGTGCAGATTTTCTTCAATCCTGAGATATACAGTAGTGAATTTACCACTCCATTGCCAGATGTAATTGACAAATGTATACAATCAGCGCCCATTGACACAAGACGGGCTCTGTATAAGGCATGTCATGAAAGTCTAAGCTGCTAAAGATTTTAACCATCGCTTTATCTTTCAGTTTCCTCACTGCTTGTTTGCCATCACAATTTCAGAATATAGTGTTATCTGGGGGGTCGACCATGTCGAAGGATTTTCATAGAAGGCTCCAGAGGGACTTGAAGAAGATTGTGGATGCTCGTATTGTTGCATCTGAAGCTAGACATGGAGGAGAAGTAAAGGTGCTAATACTTTATACCTTTGGCTGTTTACTTTTAGTTTCACTTATGCAGGACTGACGTTAATTTCTTGGTTTTAGTCTCATCCTATCGAAGTTAATGTGGTCAGTCACCCTATACAAAGATTTGCAGTTTGGTTTGGGGGTTCTGTGCTGGCATCCACACCAGAATTTTATGGGGTATTTGATTCTTTCCATTTTGTTTTAGTTGTATTGTCCAACTCAATATTAATTACTTCAAGGCTATTTTCAGTGCTGGGATTTGTTGTAAAATGAAATAAAGTAGTTGAAATCTCAAATTAAGTGCCACAGATAGGTAATGAAGCTACGACTTATTAAATTTCATTTCTTTCACTTCATTTCGTCTGAACACGTTCATGTAAATGACTATCAATCTTCATAGAGTGAACTTGACAAATAATAAAACCATTATAGCTTCGTCCTGCTTTTATCTTAATTTATTTTTTTGACATTATTCATCCAAGGATTTGAATGAAAGCAAATAAAATATTAGACTAGTTAACCTGATTTCTTTTTTGGATTTAACATGTAGTTAATAGAGATGCATTTATTTATTTATTTATTGAGTTATTGTTATATCATCTTATGCAAATTTGTTAGGCAAACCAAAACATTGGAACATTTGGCAATTTGCCAGGCACCCTCAAGCCTACAGGCTACCGAATGTTGAGAAACTAAGCAACAACCTGGTTGCTCTCCTGACCAGATTGAATTTTCATCCTTTTAACTATGATGAATACTTTTGAAGGGTTTGATATGATAATCATCATAATAAAATATTAAAATATAACAAATTTTGTGTCCAAATGTCAAAATGACAAGATCTTGATAAATAATTTATTTAAGATAAATTGTACACCCTAATATGCCAATAATTCATCTTCTGAGAATTAGAATTTTTGCTTGTTTGTGGAGGACATTCAGTTTTATATTTTAGAATTGCTTGTTTGTGTGATTTCATTCAACTTGTTTGGGTGAAATATCCGGGATGTAAGTACACAAAACCTCACCCTGTTTATGAAGCTTCTTTTTATATTTTAGAAGCATAATACTAAGTTAAGTGTTGTAGAGATGAGGTTGCTTAGGTGGATGAGAGATAGGATACGAAATGAGCATATACGTAAAAAGATTGGAGTAGCTCCAATGGAAGATAATATTAGAGTCACCTTAGATAGTTTGGTCACATTAAACAGAGGCCTTCCGATGACTCAGTTAGGAAAGTTGAGGTTTTAGATTTGTCTTATATTAAGAAAGGTAGAGGTAGGCCTAAAAAGACTTGGTTAGAAAATATTAGAAATGATATTTCTTTATTAGATTTAAATGAGAATTCAACTTTTAACAGGACACAATGGCTAAAAAGGATTCATGTAGCCGACCCCACAGTCAGACAAAGGCTTGATGTTGTTGTTGTTGATCTATATAACTTAGCAGTCAATTTGTCCATTTTACTTTATTTTATAGTTTTATCCCCACGTACTCTATTGATTAGGATTGTTTTTAAATACTTTTTCAGGCATGCCACACAAAAGCAGAATACGAGGAACATGGTGCAAGCATTTGCCGAACAAATCCCGTATTCAAAGGAATGTACTGAAATGGTAAGAGATTTCACTTTGTCAAACGCATTTACTCGCGTAAGCTGCTTTCTCAGAAGTTCCCTCCCTCAAAAGCCTCCACACTACAGAAACCAATATACTACTGTTCTCCAAGAATCTTTGCTCCCAATTTGTAGACAATTATTATTCGAATGAGTTGTATGATAGATGCTGTATAGTTGTAACCCTTGCATTTTTCACGCCATCAATTGATTTTATATCATATTCTTTCCTGTGAAGAAAGCATCACTATCGCTTGTATTGCTAGGAAGCAGTTTTTTTAGTTTAGCATGTTGAGGAATTATATGATCAATGTGAAAATTTTGAATTATTCTCTTCAGTCAAGCATTTTAATATCCTCTTTCATTCAAAGCTGGTTGTCCTAGTAGTCTTGGATTGATAGATTGGTTGATAATACTTTGGATTTGTGCATGATGAGAGTAACAATTGCTCTAACCAGTTTATAGTTCCGGTTGATCATCTGCTCCAGCAAGAAATTCACGATACTTCTTTATCTTTTGAGTTGTTCTGCCTGATCAGTAGCTCAAGATCTTTGGTCTTCATCCAGACACGATGAAAAAGATTGGATCACTTCTTATAGATTCGTTGAGAATGATTCTGATCTAGTTCATGGCCTATTACTATATTGCTATTAGAAGTAGAAGGCGCTATGACGGGATTACTTTTGATTGCTGGATCAAATGTTGTGTAAAAGATACCATGACTGATTAAGCCCAATAAGCAGGGGAAAAAAGAAAGGGAAAAGATTACATCGTGTCGAATCGATCAATGACCTTTTATTGATGGGTGAGGATTAGAGTTGACAATAAATAATGAGCTGCATGATAAAATATAAAGTAAATGAATAAACTTAGTATAGCTACTCCTGTATTTAGCAAGTTTGACTAGTAGTTAGTTACCCATTTTGTAAGAATTGATCAAGTTTCAAGTTGAGGTTCAGTATCTTTGAAGAGTTCTGATGAGAACCACTAATTAGCTGACAATTACTATGAACTGGACATATAATTTTTATGAGTGTGAGACTTTCTGAGTCCTTAAATAAGTTTGTGAGGGATGTGTGTGCAATTTGATAGGTGTACCTATAGGTGATTTAAGGCTTGAAATAATTTCTGGCTTGGTGAGTTTTCAAGTTGATTCATAATGGATGACATGACATTGTTCAATCCACAACTAGAATGTTTATAATTGCAAGAAGCTTCTTACATGGTTTCTTTTGGGACGACTTTCTTATTGCTTCTTAAAGTAATTTTTTTAGTAGAAAAATTAAAATTTACTATTAAAAAGTTGTTTTAAGAGACCGTAAGAAAGCTGTCTCAACCGTAGATTTACTCTTGCATCCAAGCCATTGCATGACAATTCAAATACTCAAATTAGATTAAAAGTTCAATCTTGATAATAATTTTATAATTTTTATCAACTAAATTTTGTGACATCCATAACCAATCATTCCATTATTTTTTTAAACTAGATTTGATTTGAAAAAGGAAGAACCTGCCTTTGTATTTTAACTTTAAGCCTATTTGGTAAACCAAACATTGAAGAATATATATATATATATAAAAGGCTCAATTTTGGCATCATATCCAGGAGAAATTATTCTATGCGGAGATTGGACGCAGAAAGCAACCCAGAAACTAATCAGAATATATCACATCAACAGTAACGAACACAGAGGTGATGCAGTACATTCTAATTGATCTCCAAACGGCGTTCAAAATCCGCACAATAATTTTTCCATATCTAATTATATTGGTACAAGTTCAAATAAGTCTCACCTCTAAAATAAGAGCTCCCTCACCATAAACATATTTGTCACAAGGCACTTTATATGAAACAATTTGTTCTATGAAATGATCTAGGCCAGCTTAATATTTTTTAATTATATATAATTTTAGAATAATTGAATGTAGTGGCATTTAAAAAAAAAACAGAAGAAAAAGCTAAGCACTTCCCAGATATATCAAATAAAAAAATTCATTACAAGATTATTAAAAAAATTATATTTTTAATTTTTTATCATGAATTCAATCATACTTTGTTATTAATCGCTCACTATTAAAAAAAACACAAGCCTGTAGAAATTATAAAGTTAAAAAAAAAAAAACCTCACCAAGCCTACTACAATAAAAGAGTTGGGAGGTAAACCATGATATACTCAACAAGCATTATCTAAGAGAATTTCCCTCTCACTAAAATGTAACAACCCTAGATTTAGTCTACATTACATACCAGTAAAAATTGCAACACAATAGTTTCTATTCAAAAACTCAGAATCAAACATCATCATCTTTATCCCAAATAAAAGAAAGAAAGGACACAGAAAAAGATCCAGAAAGCATCATCCATCATTTCTTTGCATAGCTGATGGCCATTGGGTTTTGTGGAGTGATCTTGAAGCTCTGGAGGGCTTGCATGGCAATGGAAGCCTGTACTTCGTCCCCGAACTCCACGAAGGCGATTCCCGGCTTCGCTTCGATCATTCGGACCTCTCGGAAACCCGGGTATTGCTGGAAAAGTATCTGAAGCATCATGCTTGTAGTCTCATGAGGAAGGTTCTGGATAAATAGAATGTTGTTGGGAGGAGCAGTTTCCTGAGAACTGCTACTCTTTCCATGGCGGGTGGCTTGTGAAGTCTGTCAGGAAAACAAAATGGATCTGTTTAACAATATTGGTTTTCCTCTTTAATCCATCAGAAGAAAGAGAACATTCTATATTATATGGGTTTCAAAGCAATCAACATTAGTAGACTACACATGATAAGGGCTTTCAAAGCAGACTAGAAGTGGTATCTAACTCGAGTAGGATTTCAACCCAGATTTCATAAAATTTTGAAGGATTAAAACTTGAATTGTTTGGCATGAGAACTGTTAAATCTTACTAAATTATGATACTGTTTTCGTAATTGGTTAAGAATTTAGAGTTTGTGAGAAAACAAGTCCTTAAATATGTTATATGGGAATTTAGGCTTTGTTTGGGATGGCTTTCTTATTGCTTCTCAAAATAATTTTTTAGTATAAAATTTTTCTTTTTTTACTAGACTAGTTGAAACTGAATTAATCAAACCAGTAAGATTTAAAATTTCAAAAGTTCTGTTTGGCAAGATTTAAATAAGACACCAAACAGCTCCTGAACATGTTACAATTAGAGAGAGAAATTTATGAGGATATCTTCTGAGGAGCAATGCTAAAGATCCATAAGGCAGAAAGGTGGAAAAATGAGAAATTCTCATGGCGAGGTTTGCCTAAGCTTAAGGTTTCCTTTGGGATGGCTTTTTTACTGCTTTTTAAAGCAGTTTTTTTAGTATTTTTATACTAGAAAGTTGCTTTAAGAAGCAATAAGAAAGTCATCCCAAACAAACATATTTGCAGAGATTGGATGGCGAGAACCGTCCGAATTTGCTACGCTTTTACTGCACTTTTGCTGCTCTTTTACAAATACTCAACAAAAGGACAATAAATATGCAATTATGATTTATGAATGTATTTTTGTTGAGTATTTGTTGTGCTTTTACAAAAGGCAATAAAATCGCAGCAAATTCGGACAGTTCTCGCCGTCCGGTCTCCGCACAGAATAATTTCTCTTGAGTTGGAGCTTTGAGCTTTAAAGAAAAAAGGCCCACCATGCTTATTTATTTATTTATTTATTTATTTTTTGAAATAGTACTTGAGAATAAGGCCATGACAAGCTAAGATATTTCCCAAATTGCAAGATTGAAGTACGCAACAACTTACATGTACTCCATTGTTTTGAAAAGAAGGGCCATTAGCGGCAGAACCAGTTTGGTGCGCCTCCTCAGCTTTCCGTCTCTTCTCAGCAGCTGAAAATTAAACGGTATGAAACTAGACTTCTTAGTCCATCTCTCTAAGAAAATCAAAGTATTTGCAGAAATTGAGTAAATTCTTACTCTACTGTTAGCATTTAAAGTGATACTATAAAATGATTAATGATTTTTCAGGTGAAGTGGCAATCCATATAAATCTCTCATACTAGATATCCATTTAGAAAAAAGGACCAAATTGGTCCCAACTCTTTAGGAAGGATCAAAATTATCGTCAACTATAATAAATGACCATTTTGGCCCATCAATTCCTTCAAGAGAAACAAAAATAATCCCACCATCGAACTATTTTGAACCTTTTTAAAGAATCGAGAGATCAAAATGATCCCTTAATATGATTGGGGACTATTTTGATCCTTCATAAAGAGTCAATAGACCATTATGATCTTTTTCTCCCATTGATATTTAGATGCTTTTAATACTTAATGGCATTTTCATATAATATTTTTTCTCACATCATATAATAACCTAAGAATAAATAATACCTAAAATTTAATACAAGCATCACATAGTTTACTAACAAGAATTAGCTCTGCATGGACTTGTGAAAATAAACTCTTCTATTCAACAGGTTCATAAGTTATAATCACAGTTTGAAGTAAAGCGCTGGAATTTTCTCTATACCAACTTCATTTTTTTTCACAGAAGAGTTGATGAAAGAAACTGAGCTTCACTTAACGTGCTCAGGCAACCCTTAGCACTCAACAATTAGCATTGAATTATAAGATAAAAGGAAATTTCAATGTCCCTAATTACCGAAATCATAAAGGCATAGAATTAGTCCTTTGGTAATCGAGTTGGCATATATAATCTGAGAATAAATAATATGTTACAAAGTGCTCCATATAATCCATAAAGAAGGTGCAACAAAAGGATTTACAGCCATTCTTAGACTATAACATTCCCTCAATACAAGGAGAGATTATTCTCCGAATGCAGTTCACCATCCGGAGACCAATAAAAATGTGCCACGTCAGCGGTACCGAGTTGCGGTACCAAGCCGGGTACCGAGCAGGGGGTGACGTGGCACATTATGGTTGGTCTCCGGACAGCATTCGACGTCCACACAGAATAATTTCACCAATACAAGGTGCTTTTCCCCGCTCTCTACAAGCACTGCTCCCTATGCCCCTCTAATAACTCATGGGTGTTTGATTTGAAGGAAAACCTCAGTATGAAATGAAAACAGAATCTATATTCCTTTCTCATTTGTTTGGTTAGAACTGCATCATAGAGAATGAATTTGATGGAAATCTCAAATCTAGAAGAATTTTAAATTATGGAGAAATGTATTTCAGTACCTAAATGTGGTGCAATCTGAATAGAAATGGTTGAGCTTCCTGCTAGCAATGTGTTAACACTAGCCTCCTTTTCTCTTGTAACACCCAAACAGGTGAAAATAAATCCTTTATTTATATTTTATTACCCATCAATATTCTTGGCATTTTCTTTTGTTTCCCTTACTTTCTTGTCAACTCTATGTCATCATAGAGTTGACAGGTTTCTACTTATCACAACATAAAAAAAGTTTTCACATTATCTTTATTACTCCAGGTATCTACGTATCCCAACTACTTGGGGCCAACTTATTATAATCCTCATTCTGCATTTCATCTTGCTGAGTTTAAGATGATTTGTTAACTATATTATGCACAATCTTTTAATGTAATTTATAATCATGTGAAATTTGGTCTGCTCCTTTTCTTTCCTTAATCCTCCACAGTAATTTCATCTGCCTATCTTATTGACACATCAAGGCAACTTCTTTCTACATAATCAAACCACCTTACTCTAATTTCCACGATATTATCTTAAATAACTGTTAGTCTCTCTAATCTCTCTAATAAATCATTTCTTAGTCTATTATTTATAGAGGTAACTTCTTTCTACATAATCAAACAACCTTACTCCCACATTTTACTTCTTTTTCATAGAGGTCCCACTTAATGGAATTACTTCATTTGTATTACATCACTGTACCTCATCTTGAATAATTTATGTAAGCATATCTTAAATACAAGAAAATAAATATCCAAAATCTGGTCGAAAAATTCCTTGCTCAACTTGAACTACCTCTAATGCTATTGAATACTCAAACTTTTCAATCATCTCAATAGATATTTCGCTTACTGGCATTATTTCACCTGCAAATAACAACAGCAATGGTACCTCATTTTGAATAACATTTTGAAACATCTCTATAAGTAATACAAAAAGATAAGAGCATAATGGTTGCTCATTAATGTAATCCTAATATGATTGAAAACTTGTTCAATCCTGAATAACTAATGAAAGTCAAAGCTCTATTATACGCATTTCTAGCAAGTACAAAATACCTTTGAAACATACATTTTCTTATTATCACACACCCAGCCACTTCTCTTGGCATTCAATCATATGCCTCATCAATATCAATAAAAATCATGTGATGATCTGATGGGGGCATCAGAACTTGGAAAGTCTATCAGAGACGTGGCCATCGATCTACGGTCACGATTGAGACGATGTACTTCTGAGTCGTATTATGTATTTCTTTATTATTATGTTATGTTGTATTTGCTTTATTAGTGTTTCCATTTTTACCACTTACTTAATGGAGGTCGTATGTAAGCCCAGAGGGCATCGTCGTCTTTTTATTTTCTCGAGTCATTTGTACGAGGCTATATATAGCCCTCTTATTCTCTTTTCATGTTAATGAATGAATGATAAAAAAATTTCCTTGTTTGATTTCTTTGTGAGATCTTGAGATTGCTTGAGAGAGAAATCCTTAGGAGAGGGAAATCGGATCACCCACCAACCTTGGAGATGGCCGGGTTCGTGGTTCTTCTTCTTTATCTCTTTACCCTCCTCTTCTCATCACCTAGCCGCCGGCCACTTAACCCCCACTTCACCCGCCGCCTAGACTCCAACCCTATCTTTACCCACGGCCACCCCCTCACCGCTGGCCCACCCTTGGCTCCTCTCCCATCTACACTTGCCCCCACAACCTTCCTAAATTAGGTTTCATAATTTTGGTAACTCTCTTCATGATCAAATTCAAATTGAAATAATTACCTAATTTACAAAATCCTATTTTAGGAAACTTACTAAATCAATTCCTATTTAAATTTTAAATTAAGAGGGGATGAGACATTTCTTTCCAAACTTAGTTTAAAATAATTTAAGTAGGCATTAAATGCCTCATTAACTCTTTACTCCCTATATAGCCGCCTCTCCCCCCCCCCTCTCATGAATTTAATTAGGAATTGTTTCCTAAAGTCCACCTCCTCTCTTGGAAACAATTCAAAACCCCTTCCCTCCTCCTTGGCCGAAATTCCTCATGCCCATACCTATTTAATTTCTTTCCAAATACTTCTCTTCTATTTGGAATTAAATTAAATTCCCTTCCCCCCCTAAATGCTGCTGCCCCTCATCATCCTCCCTCTTTAATTATTCTCAATCTAGGGATTAATAGGAGAGTGGTTGGAAACAAATTCCCCATTTAAATCTCCTTGGAAACAAATTCCCCATTTAAATCTCCCCAAAATCTGAACCAAAATTCCCCTAACCCTCTCCCCTTGGCCGGCCACCTTATCCCACCTTCTCGTACTTGGATTCTTGAAAGAAACCCCTCTCTTACAAGGGGAAACAGCAAGGACAACAAAGAATCATCGCCTTCAACACTTCAACGCTACTAGATCAATGCATGGCCGATCCCGACCTTGATTACGGCATTGCCTACGATGAGCAAGGTTTCGTTCACATCCTTCACTTCACTTTCTTCGATGTTAATCCAAATATCAACAACACCGTCGAGGAATACGTGGAGCGCATTCTAGATACTCTCACCGAAGCCATAGAGGAGCAACTTGGTGACGTTCAGTGGTGGATTACATCCAAACAGTGACAAAGGTTTTTCAATCTTCCCACTCTCGTATTTTCATGGTTTAACTCTCTCTTGTGATTTGAATTGATTCATGAAGATCTTGTTCACCTATCTCTATCAAGCCTAGTAATCAAAGGAATTGAGCTTAGCCTTCTATGCTTCTAATCTCATTGTTAGCGTAGGGATTTTATTTGAAAGGTACTTAATTTACATGCTATTGAAATTCTACGTTATTTTGATAATCCAAGCGTTTGGCATGTGACTTGGCCTAAGCGTAGTCACCCCTCTCACGTTTTCTTTTATCATTTTGATTGCTAAGAGTTTTAATCTTAATTGTTTTATTCAAGAAATCGTGCCAATTCCTTTTGCATTCATCTAAAACATTGTAGTCTTGTATCACGATCATTTCTATGCTCGCTATACTCATCCATTAATCGCTTTGAGCTGCTTCATGTAAAAACAATTTGAACTTTATTACCAACTCAATTTTTCTAAGCCATGTTCCATTGCCCCCTCTTTTAACATGCCCCCTCCTTTAACATGCCCGCAAATAAAAAATGTAGTGCATAGAGCTCTATAAAAAAGGACAGCCAACTGCTAGTCTAGGGCACAATTCATATATTGTTCAGTTTTCCATATAGCCTGACCTGTTAAAACATGAGCTTGCTTGACAAGCACATCGGTCACCCAAGGGCACCATAAACCCATGCTGCAAAACTAGGGTTTTGTTTGTTAAGTGAACAAAATGGAAGCATTTCTACATGTGTATTTATTTATTCTTTTGGAGGAGCAAAGAACTAAGTCCTGGATCAAAAAAATATTCAGGTTGCTGTGCGACAGCTTCAACTGGCACAGATGAATAGTGGATTAAGACAAAAGTAGTTTAAAAAACACTTGAAATATGTTTCTTTAGTGATACGAACTAAATTCCATAGCAAAAACTCAAATAAAGCCGCTCAAGCCAGATTTTGTAAAATTAACGAATAACACTGTAATGTGTGCCCAAAATGTGGCTAAACTTGCTAGAATCATGCACCCACGAGCTCAAGCCAACTAGAGCTCACCATAAAAGCACGTATACAAAGCCTCAGAACATTTTCAACTAATATTTAACAAATAAATTTATCTTTTATATTGGTTCTATTTTTCTAATTGTCAATTTCACCATCCTTCTTACCGACACTTCTCAAAGTTTACAACGTCAGTGCATATATTAATACTGCATGGACATGTGACCTAAGCTTCATTTAGGCTTCATTTAGGCTTCGTTTGGAACAGTTTTTGTGCTACTTTCTAAATCGGCTTTCTAGTACAAAAATTTCATAATTTTCGTACTAAAAAGCTGTTTTAAAAAGTAGCAAGAAAGCTATCTCAAACGAAGCCTTAGTTCGTTTATGTTTGTTGTTCTATTCAAAAGCTTCATACAATAGATTCTACCAACCTAATTATAGTTTGAAGTATAGGGCTGGAATTTTCTCTAGCTCATCTGATTTTATTCACAGAGTTAAAAGAAAGAAACTGGACTTCTCTTAACTGACCTAAGTTCACTTAGTTCGTTCTAATCCATTAGCAGTCGACAATTAGCATTGAATTATTGGGCAAATAGAGTATTTAATACCCCCAGTTAAGCAATTCATAAAGGTGTAGAATTAGTCCCTTGGCCTTTGAGCTGGCATGTACAATCTGGGAATCAATAATATGGTAAAAATTACTCCATATAATCAATAAAGAAGGGACTGCAAAAGGATTTCAAGCCATGCTTACAAAGGGCTTTCTCAAATTCTCTCAAAGCTCGCTCCCTACTGCCCCCTCTAATAATTCATGAATATTTTATTTCAAGGAAAACCTGTGAATGAAATGGAAACAGAAATATATATTCCCTATTCCCTTCACATTTGTTTGCTAGTGACTAGATTTACAAGGATTATGATTGAAAGATAGGAAACCTTTTTTTGCCCCTTTCCTCCACTCACTTCACTCCAACAAGGGATGAAAATGAGGAATAAACATAAAAAAAGAGATAAGCCCTTTAACTTATCATATCAGGTAAGAAGAGAAAATTTATGTAAAACACCACAACCAAACAAGTCCAGCAAAGCAATGCCTAATATAGTTTATCCATAATTTGATTAAATATTTTCAACTTACAAGATCATAGTATATTACAATATCAAATTCTTATTGAATTGAATCCTTATTTCCATTTACAAGATCTGCATTAACTCATTGAACTCTTACAACATCTTTTACTTTGTGTAATTAAATATGTGCTTCAAAGCAGGTTTTAAAAGTGAAGCAATATGTTGGTTGAGTGCATCATTTGCATGTGAAGTGCAAACTTGCAACAAAGAGCATGTTTCATGCGGCTTTCTCATGTCATATCATAGTTTTGTATGTTGCACTTCGACTCAAAATAAATCCAGGCTCATAATTCAAGATTTGATTCAACATCTAACACATTAAGTACGCACACAAAAATTTTCTTCTACTAACTATTCGTCGCAGTCATCGGGCCATTGCTCATTGGTTCTTCGTTCTCTCTTGCTAAAGCTAGTCTCTTATTAATGGTTCTCCCCTTCATGCTCTCTTGTGTGATATTTTTTTCTATATTCATCTTACTGGTTCCTGTTGTTGATGCTAATTATTTCTCACTCTCAAGCTTCTTCTCAAAAATATACTTCTCAGTGAAACATCTTCACACACACACACACACTCTTTACACTTATTCAACATCTTGGACTCTTGCTGCTCACTTATCTCATGAGTATCTTAATCTTTAAGTTTTCTTTCATCACTTATTTCACAACCTTATTGTCAATGGATGCTATTCTTGCCGATCAATTTAATACAATCATTTCTTAATATATAATTTTTTATATCATAAACAAATCTTAATGTTATCATTTCTCACACACATAACTTGGCTATCAGTGTCTTCTTTATCACCTAAAACTCAAATCTTTATAATATAGCTAGCTCAATTATAGTTTTATAAAAATTGTCTCCTCTCCATGCTCTATATAATCATATAGCACACTTAAAGCATTCTATATTTTAACTATCAAACTTTAACAATGAAAATTCTATCCTTTAAATATCATCTTTTTGAAAGCTAACACCTTTAGGCATCACTTAAAATAATAATAACTAGTCATAGCTTGATCTTCAAGCCATTTTGATTGATAATTGTGGCATCCTTAAAACATCTCACCACTTATGTGATCATTTTCTACTAATCGAGGGCCTCATCCTCATAAAAAATTCATCAATCCTAATTTTCACTTATTTTACTCGAGATCTCATTTAATGGAATAATTTCATATGCCAATAGGACACATAGAAATACCTCGTTTTGAATAATTATTAAAAGCATCTATCTAATACAAGTAGATATTTATTCTGAATGTGATTGGAAACTCGTTGGTCACTTTGAAATACTTATAATACTAGTCAATACTCCAACTTTTCAATCATTTTTGTAGAGTTTTCACTTATTAGAATAATTTCACCAGGAAATAACAAACACTAAGGTATCTCATGTCGAGTAACATTTGAAAACATTTCTATAAGCAATACAAAAAATAATAATAACTTAAATGTTTGATCATTAATGTAATCCTATTATGATCGGAAATGTGTTAGTCACTCCAGAACAACTTATAATACTAGTTAATAGTCCATCTCACACATCCTTAAAGTATAAAATATATTTGTAGCATGCCTTTCTTGTTAACACACATCTAATAAATTCTCTTGGCGCTTAAAGGAATCATGTAATGATCATTTCTTGTCTGAGAAAATGACCAAAATGACACCTCAACTCTTAGTGAGGGACCAAAATGGTTCCCAACTCTTTTGAAAGATCAATTTGCTCCCTCAACTCTTTAAAATGAGACTTTTTTTGTCCTAACACCCAATGTTGGAGTTAATGGTGTTAAATGTAAGAATATTTTGGTCATGGGAAAAGCAATTGTGAGTTATGCGAGCAATTTAGCACTTGATTGAGCAAAACGGGAACATTGGCAATTCCTAATGCATGATGAGGAGGGCACGAAGTGAAGGTCCCTCATGTTGCAACGCATCACTGCTATAGTGCGCTTCAACAAGCTTATATGGATGATGTAGTAAGTGGAGTCTTTAGCAACTTTCCCCTATTCCTCTAGTGAAATCGCTAAGTTTTCTATTTTTTAATGGAATGGTTCGATCTAACTTCAACAAGTCATGGGAAAAGCAACATTGAGTTATGCGAGCACTTCAGAACTTGATGGAGCAATTTAACACTTGATTGAGCAATACTGGCACATTGTCAATTCCTAGTGCATGATGAGGGCACGAACCGAAGGTCCCTCATATTGCAACGCATCGCATCGTTGCTATAGTGTGCTTCAACAAGCTTATATGGATAATGCAGTAAGTGAAGTCTTTAGCAACTTCCCATATTCCTCTAGTGAAATAGCTAAGTTTTCTATTTTTTAATGGAATGTTTCGATTGGACTTAAACAAGTCATGGAAAAGCAACAGTGAGTTATGCACATACATAAAAAACCCATCATCCAGAAATAATCATATTTTTCTTAAAGCCCTTATTAATTGCATTTTCCATCTTTCCTTGGTGGATTCATCTCTAGCTAAGACCTTATAATATCTACTTAAAATATATCTGACTAGACAGTAATCTCTAAATCTCCTCTCCTACCTTACCTACCATACATATCTTGTTTTCTCATTTTCTCAGAACTACACTTTAAAACAACAATACAAATTTCTTTGCTTACTTCTAACTACAACACAAATATGTAAGCTTCAGCAGTATTTCATTTATGACATTCCTTAAAAAGCACATTCCTCAAAACTACATGAAAGAAAAAAAAAACCAAATAATAACAAATTTTAGGAATGAATCTTCTAAAATGCTATGGTTCAAATTGATCCTTAGAATATAGAAGCAACTATAAAACAACAATGTACATTTATTTGCTTCTAGCTAAAACACCAATATGTAAGCTTCAGCAATATTTCATTTTCATTCTATAAAAAGCCAACCCCTTTTCCTAATAAAACTAGGCTAATGGTAAAAAAAAGACACCAACAAATATGAAATTTACAGAATGAATCTTCTTAAATGTTATGAATCAAATTGATCCTTAGAACACAGAACTATAAATTAAGAACTTAAAGTGGGGCAATGTAAAAGCTTACATGCTCATTTGCAGCAAATAAAAGTTCAAAAATTGGAACGTAATGCTTCTATATATAAACTATAAAGCTTCACGTAACTGAAAAGCAAGCTGATAAATCAACATAGTAATATTTTATCATAATGAAATTATGAAAATCACCTTTGTCTTCCTGTTTCTTCTTCTTTTCTCTAGGAACATAAGTTCCATCTGCTTTAGCTACACAATCAGACTTCATTTTTGCAAATTGTATCCTCTACACAAAGTAAACTGTGCCAATTAAGATCTAAATCTCAAGCAAGCACACAAGCAACTAGCATTCAAAGGAACATAACTACAAATTTTTAATGGCATAATAATGACATAGTTTGATGAGGAAAAATGCTTAATCTCTTCTTTCTCATTTGGAGCATACAACACTTTTAGAATACAATATCTGACTATTAAACATGCCGGAAATTCGAAATTTTTATGGCAAAAAATTAGTTCTGCAGGATTTGAAACTTCATGCATAAAAAATGATCAACTAATACAAAGAACTTGTGAAAACCATAAAATGAAAATAAAAAAACTGTAATAAACACAAAAAAGTACAGCAAAGCTCTAACAAAAATTAAATTACATTATTTAGTATAATAAATAATTATAAACAATTACAATGTATATCACTTTAGTACCATAAATGAATAATTTCAGTTCTTTAGTTTTAAAATGGAGAAATTTGCAGTAAACTTGTAGACACTATAACCATAGAACACTTCCGAGGTATTCTCACAATACCTAATAGAATTCAGCAAAGCATGGAAAAATTACAGGAAGAGTAGTAAGGAATTAATGTAATTTTATTATTATAATTGAAGAGTTTTTAAATTATGTCTACTTACTCTCCTGAACTTATATTTTATTTATTTTGAAAATCAGAGTGTCCAAAACTAAAGATAGAAAAACACAACTATTCACCAACAGCCATGTGCTTTTTCGCTGTGAAGCTCATCTGGAGGCCTTCCATGACAGCAGCCTTGCTCAAAATGGATCATTAATACCAAAACATAATTGCAATATAGAATCACACCCTGCAGTTCTTTACATAAACATGATATGTGTGAACGTACATGTTGCAAAAAGTTATTAATTTTTCCTTTAAAACACTAAAAAAATTAGTGAAAAGCTATATGTTGCATTTAAGATGACTTCCTCAAAAATCAACAGCATCAAAATTTAGAAACAACCTAAAACTTACAGTAAACTTGAGGAATATTGCAGTAAACCTAATATGTCTTAAAGAATTCCACAAAAAATTATTTAAAATTAGAAAAAATAAAACAGAAAAATATAAATAGAACAATCCTAAAAGACAATTAAAGTAATGTGAAACTTTTTATGACATTTCTAAGAAGGAAAAACGATTATGAGAAAGAAGGAAACACTAAAATAAGATATAATTTAATGAACCACAAGACAAATAATTCAATCTTAAGAACATAACAAATCAATATTTAGGATCCACCTTCCTTGTTGCTCAGCCTTTGTATCACCTTTAATAGAAAACAAAAAAGTAAACTAAGCCATAGGGATCTTGTTTTCCTTAATTTTGTTTTTCAGTCTATCACTTGACCAAATTTCAAGTAGATTCCTTTCCTGCTTCAGCGAAAACTGAAATAATATAATTAAAAAAAAAAGAGTTTGAGAAATGAAATATATTATTCATAAGATAAACTGGGAGTAAGCATGAATGCTAGAAATGATCCAAGAACTAGAATTGTATTTAACAGCTTAAAATAGATTTCTTTGAAATGAATAAATAACTATGTGCTGGAACTAATAAGGGTAGACAGCTTCCTAGGATGCCATTGCTTTGCAGTAAGTATGTCCCTAGGATGAATGGTCTAAAGCAATAAAACTTTACCCCATTCGAAGAAACACGAAAAAGTGAAAAACTGTGACTTCCAGCTGCAATATCAAGGCAATAAAATCCAAAACAGGAACACAAAAGAAAGTTGCATACAGTTACAAAATGATGGCAAGGAACTATCGCAAGTATTGCTCTTATATCATGCATAAATTAAAATTAATATTATTCTAAGAAAATGAAATTTGGATTCAGAAATGCACACCATAGGTTTATCATAGAATGGAAAGCTCTGCATTTGACGAACTGCACTACTAGCAGCAGTAACTTCACTAAACACCACCCATGCTTGACCTCTGAGTTTCTCGGTTTTCAGGGCTACTACATCCAGAATCCTTCCAAACTGGGAAAAGAGAGCATAAATGGATCTCTTCAATTCTGGGAAATAAATTAAAAAAGAACTTATCAATCTAGTAGGAAAAAAAAATTCTTTTTAATAGAGGAAGGTATGTTAAACTTCTCGATGTTTACTCCTTCTGTTCTTCATGCATTTGCTACCAATATTTCAAAATAAATTTTAAAATTTCCAAAATCCGGCACATTGGTAAACCCGATGTTTCTACTTATTAACAAAAAGAGAGAGAACGAAATTACTCCTTTCAAGCTGGAAACTGAAAAGATGAAAACAAAAGACCGACTTGTTTATGAAAAAGAAATAGTTCGGTATTTCCGCATACAAACCCTATTAACTACTAAGCAAAGGGGTCATCTAACTCTATCTCGTTCGAAAGTTATCAAATTTAAATGATTAAAAAGATACAAAACCCATATGTATCTCGAATTAGGAATAAGCGCAGTTCGAGAGAAGTTTGCACTAAGAGAAATTAATCAGATTAGAAGAGAACAAAATGAAACCCTAAACCCTGATTTTTCTTATGTAGAAAGAATGGGAAAAATACCTTCTTTCTTCACCTTCTCGTTGAGATTCCTTATATATATAGTTTGATTCGGAGGAATATCGCCGGAAAGCATGGCTGCAATCGGCCGAATAAGGGATCTGAAGAAGCTAACTGTACAGCTCTGTTCCTCGGAAAGAAATAGTGAAATACACAACCCTCCGCCTTGGCTGAATATTTTCAAGGGAAATTTACATAGTGATAGTATACTTATTATTTTACATATTTAACATCTAATATATTAATATTACACATTTACTATTCAAATTCCTACTTTATATCATTTCTACCACTTTGTGTAACGCCTACCTCACGACGTCTATTTTCCCGCGCACCTGTGATGGACGTCTTTACTCCCGCCGAAATCCCCATTGCCGATACTGCTCGCAAATTACCTTTGTCAGACGTCTCGCCATTTTCCTTCATCTGAGGCCGATACAGCTCTTGATCGCATTGTCCTAATTGCTAGAAGTTGCCATTAGATCCCCATTTTCTTCGCACCTCACGGTATTGTCTTCCGCCTCCTGGCTGCTACAAGTTGCTGTTAGATATCAAACATCCTAATCCGTATTTCCTTCATGGCTGCTATAAGTTGCCATTAGATATCTAATTACAAGTTGACGCTAGTTTCCGTATTCCCTTATTTTTTTTAAACAGAGAATCATGCCCTTATTTTTAAACTTCAATGGCATTAAGAAACACTGTTTGCTGTTTGAAACAAGCATTGAAGGAAATCATGTATTTATTCGTAGCTAATACTTATGTGTTCTAAGACAACCGATTATGTAAGTGTTGAATGATTCATATATAAGACTTTATAAATGTTTAAATAACATTTTAACCATTGATACTGCATGCTTATGGTGACAATATTGAAAATAATTTATACGAAGAACAGAAAGAGTATATTTCTATTGTATTTAAGTATGGTGGAATCTGGGTTCAAACTAATGACCAACATAGAAAGAGGTACGATGGTGGCAAACAAAGGACTGTTAAACTTGAGAAAGGACAACTCACAATTTTAGCGGTTAGAGGAGAAATTGCTAGAATATGCCCATGGCTTAAGGGTCATCCATATAATATGTATTATTACATTTTTGGTACATCACCGAAGGAGTACAAAGAAATCAATTCTGATGTTGAAATGACTGAGTTCATAAATGTAACCAATGATAACTTCCGTGCTGAGATTGTTATTACAATACAAGGAGTAGAAGGACATGAATCAAATTCTAATCTTAAGGAGGTGGTGAGTTCTGAACAAATAGTTGAATGTTCTTTCAACCATAGTGATGTTACTTTGAATGCTCCTAGGTCATATTCTAAAGATTTAGCTGTTGGCACATATTTTCCTGATGCAATAAGTTTCAAACATGCTCTACGATCAGTTGCCATCAAGGAGAATTTTGGGGTTAGGATCAAGGCTAGTGACAAGAAACGTGTCATTGCTACATGTGCGTATCAAGGTTGCAAGTGGAGAATCCGAGCATCACTCTGTGAAGATGCTCAGTCTTTTGAAGTTAGGAGACTGGATGGGGATCATACTTGTCCTGGTATCAACCGTGCTGGTAATAGGCTTGCCACCTCTACATGGGTTGCCAATGAGATTCAAGATATTGTCAAAAGAAATCCAGACATTCTTCCAAAAGAGATCAATAACAATTTGGAGAAAGAGTATGGTCTGTCATTACCTTACATGAAGCTATGGAGGTCAAGGGAGCAAGCTCGTGATAATATATTTGGTTGTATAGATGATAATTATAAATGGGTTCCAACACTACAAGCTGAATTGATTGGTAGAAATCCTGGTTCACACATCACTTATACGTATGACATACATGACAATTCTTTTCAAAGATTTTATGTTAGCTTCAAGGTATCTGCAGATGAATTCAAATATGGTTGTAGACCTCTTATAAGCTTGGATGCATGCCACCTCAAATCTAAGCACCTTGGAATGCTATTATCAGCAACCTCAGTTGACGGTAATAATGGTTTATTCCCCATAGGCTTTGCTGTTGTGGAGAACGAATCTAAGCAGACGTGGCTATGGTTCCTACATAACTTGGGGGAAACCATTGGTACAGAACTAGAACCCCTTGCTTTCATTTCTGATATGGAAAAGGGTTTAGGCGAGGCCATTAAAGAAGTATACCCTGGAGCTGAACATAGAATATGTATTCGTCATTTGTGGAAGAATATTAAAAAAAAATTTCATTGCAAAGATGGCCATAAACTTCAAGGTTTGGTTTGGGTTGCAGCGAATGCATACACTTGCATAGAGTATAATAACAAGCTATTTGAACTAAGTGTTTTAAATCAGACTATCCATGCGTACCTTATTTCATTACCTTACAAGTGGTCGCGAAGTCAGTTTATGGGTGGGATTTACCACTCTACCAATACCAATAATTTTGCTGAATCATTCAATGCATGGATTGTGGAAGCTAGAACTAAACCTGTTGTCGACTTAATTAACTTGATTTGTGGTAAACTCATGGAGCAAAAGACCTCACGTAAGATGACGAGCTTGACATGGCACCGTGAATTAGTACCTCATGCAGAAGACTACATTAGAGAAATAACTACTAGAAAAGAACATTTATTAGTTCGACAGTCTAGTTTTTACAAGGCCATCGTCGAAGTACATGCAAGAATCCATTAAGGAATATCATTGATGACACATTATTATCACAAGTGGGCCAACCAAAATGAGCTAAATTGCCAAGTTGACGGACTCCACAAGACTTCTTTGAGGGTGGTGAAAATGATTGTTCATATGTGGAAGGTCTTTAAGTTATGGGCGGCTAATGTGACCGAACATCTGTGTTTTTTGGAAAAGGACCAGTTTGGGTCTTAATTTTTTGTAAAATTATCAAAGCTCATTGCAAAAAAAAAAATGACAGAACATTTGTGTTTTTTGGAGTTCATATGAGTTCAGTTAATGTGATTTTGAGCAACTATTCTGCATATACTTATATCTGCATATACCGGATTATGACATTATGCTTGTGAACTATACTTATATCTGCATATACTTATCAGTTAATGTGATTTTGAGCAACTATTCTGCAGCTATTACCGGATTATGACATCCGAATTGGATCTAATCCTGCATATCAATAGCTAGTTTTACAGGTCCATAATTCTGCATATACTTATATCTGAACTACAGCCACTACCGGATTTTGACGGTGACATCGGAATTGGAGCACATCAATAGCAGGATTTACATTGCTAAATCTGATAATTCTTCTAATTCTGCATATACTTATATCTTATATTGTTGTTATTAATGCAAAAAAAAATAATAATAATAATTAGATCAATAGCAAATGATCAAATTGGAGCTACTACATGATTTTGAGCTTCCATCTTATATCAATAGCAGATGACTTCAGTTCTATAATTTCGGATGCAAATACAAACTAACATTAAACCAACAAGTACTCCATTGCACAAAGTTTTTTTAGTTCCACAAAAGTTGAAAATACATGATTCCTTTTCATACAATAGAAGGAGAAAATAAGTAATTTCTCCAAGATACTTGAACAAAAGCAAGCACAACATATGCTTGAACACAACATAACACTAACCAAAATAAACTCGTAATGTAATGTCAATAAAAACCATCACTAACAAAACTTTCAGCGTAAGACGAATTGAGTCAAACTCCTTAGAATTCCTTGCATCATATGCCTTTAATTCGTAATGTGTGACATAAGATGTGTCTTCTAGCTCATCCACCCATTTAAAGTAACTGCAGTCGTCCTCACTTCTATTATAAATACATCTATAGAATTGTCTTCCACTGTTTGGTCCTTGGTGGCAGGTAAACAATACACATTTTAGATGACAATGACAGTACACCTTAGAATGTTGCGGCCTTTTTTCACAACGGATGAACTTGAAGAACTCATTAAAACGTTTGGAATACCTGAAAATATGCACAATAGCAGCAGATTTATACATAAGCAAATAGCAATTTATACTTTAATAAGAAAGAAAATATCATAAATCTGTAATTATAAAAAGTTTATAAAAATCTGGATGTTTATAAAATATCTGGATGTTTAGCAAATAGCAGCAGATTCATCACTACGAAAGAGGTCCGGCTACAGTCTAGCAGATTCATACACCTTAGAATGAATACTGACAAACCTTAGAATGAAGACGGACAAACCTATCCACCATATTCATACAGCTTAGAATGAAGATCGGAAAACCTGAAGGAGGTCCGGCTAACACCAGGTAGGTTTCAGACAAGAAGCTAGTCTTTGAGCAAATAAATCATTTTGAAATAAATTGAGAGAATGCATCAGGAATACCCTAACTGACTATCTCAGATTCACGTCCCCTTTTGCGAGCTCAGATTCG